AGAAGAGTGGTCGAAGGAAAGCAATATGGTTTTATGAGAACATATAAAAGCCCCTGATGTGGACTATCCTGAGAAAACATAGTTCGAACTGAGATCTGAAGGATGCACAGGACTTGGCTAGACAGGGGAGGGAAGCTCCCCAAATTGGGGGGAACCAGCATGTGCAAAGTTCCTATTGTGGGAGGCTGCATTGCAGGTTGAAGGAACTGAGAAGAGACCAGAATGGGGGTGGGGGTGGGATGGGAAGGGGATAAAGAACAGGAGAACCTTCATCGTGAGGCTGGAGACCAACTTCACGGCACACTATGGACCTTGTTAATGATTTTGATGTTTGACCTGAGAGTGCTAGCGTTCCATCAAAGGCAACTTTTAAACAGTGGCATGATGGGATCTGAGTTACGTTTTGAAAAATTCATTCTGGGGCTGGCCGAGTGGCACGTTGGTTAAGAGCTGGCTTGGGACGCCAGAGAGCCCCGGTTCGGATCCCACATATGAGGGCCAGTGACACTGCCCTCTACAGCTAAGATGCTGAACAACAGCTCAACCTGGAGCTGGGCTGCCATGAGTCCCCGGCGAAGGTGTAGGCTGCAGCCCCTGCTGCAGTGTGTAGCCAGCAGCCGCCGTGAGCGGCCGTCCAGAAGCCGGCGACTGATGTGCCTCGCCTGGGAAGAGCGCAATGATGGTGCCAACTTGGGCAATTGAAGCAACGTCCTCCACAACTAGACTGAAGAACAAAAAGGACAGCAACTTGTCTGTTCCCCTTCTCCCGATTCCCCAATAAAAATCTTTTAAAAAAAATTTATTCTGCTGCTGCTTTCTGGAGAATGGACAAGATTGGAAGCAGGGAGAGACCAATTGGAAGGCTGTTGAAATAGCCTGGAAGACAGATATCATGTCCTGGGTGATAGTAGTGGAACCAGAGAAAAATGGATGCAGTTAAGAAAATAAGAGGAGGTAAATTGATAGGTTGCTGTTGTTGGTTAAGGGAGAGGGAAGAGTCAAGGGTGAGACTTTGGAAGAGCATCCATCTTGGGGGCAAGGATGTTGAGTTTTCCTTTGACCATGGACGTGGTGCGGTGTGGAGTAGGCAGCTGATCAGGAGCATAGCCCCTCTGAGCTTGGGGGTAGTCACTGGGCACCAGCAAGGTATGTGTGGTGGGTGAGGATGTCAAGAGAGAGAGCATGTGTGAAAAAAAGGAGGGGTGTTTACCCAGAATAGGTCATAAGCCCCGGAAGGGCAGAGCACTTGGAGGAAGGAGACTCACTTCCCACTGGCAGCATGAGGATGTTTCATTTCTCCCTCGCCTCCTTCTCACTATTATCCAAGTTCAGGTCTAATTATGTCTCACCTGGATGCATTAGGAACCTGCTCACCCACTGCCCCAACTTTAATGTGCACCCAAGTGACTTGGGAGGGTCTTGATAAAATGCAGATTCTGATTGATAGAACTGGACTGAAGCCTCTGAATTTCTAATGAGCTCCCAGGTGATAAGGGCCACATTTTGAACAGTGAGGGGAATTGATTGGTCTCCCTACTTCTGAAGCTCATTGCTTTCACACCCAGAATTCTTGTGCCTCTGTTGAGAACCCGTCAGTGGCCATTTGTGGCTCACGCATAACTTCACTCTCAGGATCTACTCCAGCCATCTTTGACCAACGCTTGTTTCCGCCCACTGCTTCCCTTCATCCACCCTTCATGCCACCAAACGAACCCCTCACTCTGAATTTGTCCATCTACTTCTCTTGTTGTTTAGAAAAGGTCAGAGGCCAACTCAGGCTAGCTCCCAGTGGGAGGGAGGTCTTTGAACTTTTCTGTTTAAGAGCCTCCATAAAAGGATTTTGTAAAAGTGTTTGCCCTCTCACATGTTTTTAAGTTTACATCTACCTTTTTTTTTTTAAGATTTTTTTGGGGAATTGGGGGAGGGAACAGAGCTGGGGAATCTGGGGAAGGGGAACAGACAAGTTGCTGTCGTTTTGTTCTTCAGTCTAGTTGTGGAGGACGTCGCTTCACTGGCCCATGTTGGTATTATCA